TGCCTTTAAGAAATTCTGGTTCAGTGGGAACCTGTTTCTGGTACTCTTTTTAAAATACTGGCTTCAAAATGCATGTAATAAGAAAACAAACTGCAAGTCTGCTGACTGTATGTTAACTGTAAGTTAACATACATGAACAGTGTGAGACTAATTTTTCACTATCAGTTCTGACTGTGAATGGTAGCTTCCTGTAGAAGTTAGATATTGCAGAGAGCAGCAAAAGCTGATCCTTAAAATGTTAGTTTTCAAAGATTCAAACAAAACAAGCTATACCATGAAATGATTTAATCTTTAATTGTAGCAATTGAAGTCAAACAAACCTGTGGCAGTCTCCAGAACATTACATTGCATAAGTTAAAGTCAAGCTACAGCTCTCTGCTAGTATTTTGTGCACCAGGCTGAAGCTTCTAGCCTTTATTCTCACAGAAGCTCCTGATGCTGAACCTGTCTTATTGCTAGTAAGTCTGTATACTGCTGTATAATTCCTCTTTTTAAAGATCCAGAAATAAAAGTACAGTAATACAAATTTTTCCCTGCACTCATTGGATCCTTACTCCTGTTTTATAACTTGCTCAAAATCAAGGCTGTAAGAGTGAAAAAACTAGATATTTAATGATACCAGGAAGCAATTTTGTGTTTTGGCACTAGTCAATATGTAAACATATGTCAGAATGTAAACAGGTGTTCTATTCATAAAAGTACAATTAAATCAGGAGACATAAAAAAGGCTGGTTAAAGATTTGTAAAGCCAGAAGTCACTGGTAAGCTTTTAAGTAATGTGAGAACAAGCCCTTTACAGTGCATGTTAGTGGAAACTGAAAATATTTTTTCAGTAGGTTTAAACAACTTTTTTTTTTTTCCATTTTAAGTCTTAGCATGGTTAAAAGCTATACTTCTAACTCAGCTCTTGAAGGCATAACACAGGACTAGAGTGGAGGATGTATAAGGACTAGGACTGAATAACTTCTACAGCAGCTGGAGGCATTACTGAAGGTTTCTCCTGTTACAGACTGTATGAGGGGAGCTTGATCAGACCTGCTGCTTGGCTTAACGTGTTTATCTTTCATCCTTGATGGCGCTGGTCTGGTCATTGTAGTATTGTTTGGAAAATGCATTTTTCAGAAATGAGTTGTCTGTAAAAAAGGTAAGGAGAGAAGACAGATTTTATACTCACCCTGTACAAAAACTAAAAGGAAATAAAAAAAAAGAATTCCACAGTTATTTATGGGTTTTGGAAGTTACTGTTTATGCAGAATGGCACTATGGTGGTTTTGGCAGAAATGTTCTTTTTGTAGAACTCAGATTTTTAAGAATAATGACAATTAGTGGAATGCATTTCAGAGAGTGTTGTCTCTCAGGCAAGATGAATTTTAGTAAATGACAATACTCAGTGCTTATATTAGGTGTGAACAATAAAGACAGCAAAGTGTTATCATGAACATCAAAAGATACAGTAAATCTTCTATGAGGAGTACAACAATAGACTGTTATCAAATGCGTTATGTTCTGTACTGAACAGATCAGAAACATGCACCAAGAATGCTAATTTAAGGCTCTTTAACGTGTTAATACAATCAATGCATTAGGGAAGGCTTAATCAAAAAAACAGTAAGACCTATACCATACAGAGTATCACCACATATTTTTCTCTTGTATGCAGTGTAATATTGTAAATATGAATGTTAGCTCTTATTCAGTAGGGAGATCAGCTTCACAAGGTAAAAGGCAGTCTCTCACACCATAAAGTCAAAATGTCCTATACTGTTGTCCTTCTGCATACAGTCTTGCTGTTTATCCTTTAGTGTATGTAGAGTGCATGTTTCTGCAACAAATTACAGCAGTTTAATGGCACAGAACATTTTCCTAGTGCACAGCTGGGAGCCAAGAACAGTTCTGTAACATACCCATCATGGATTGTCTTCCTAACTAGTTAAAAATGTTGAAGTCCACTGGTGCTGGAACTGAACATACTGTGTTTATTTTTCTGCACTCGGAGGCACCAGTGGAATTCACTTTCCCTGTTAGAACATAAGGCTCAGGATGAAGTTGCTCAGGGCCTGTGACATAGACTGTTTATTGTTGCATCATTTTTTTAATAATATTTTGTCACATGACACAGCTAAAAAAATCAACTCTTTTTTAAGCTGATTGAGATTGACAATAGCTGCAGCTTCCCTCTCTTTCCTAATGCCAGGCAAAGTATTTGCATGTATCTGTGGGTATCATTATTTTTGAACCATCCGAGGCAGGGTGAAACCTGGGTGAAAGACAGTGGTACATCAGTCAACATTGCATCCTTCTGTGAGGGGGTGATAAATAGTTGTACCACTCAGTGGCAGATTTTTTTTCCCTGCTCCCATTTCATTATCACAAGGAGAGAAACACACTATATTGCTCTTTATGTTATGTGGGTATTCTCAGTACTGCCAATGAGAAAAACTAAGAATTCATGAGAGAAGGCTGAAGATTAAACACATGTGTCTGTGTATCTCTGTGTGTGTGCACATACACATTTATACATCTGTGTCCTGACATATAAAATACTACATGGGTATTTTCTTTTTTTAATATGAGCATTAGGGCTTGTTCTCACTGTAATGATAGCTTGACTAATCTGCACTTGGGTAAAGCTCCTCTCAAGTTAGTCTAACTTGAATAAGAGAAGTTGTGCTTCAAAGCAGTATTTGAATAAGCAGCAGAGAAGTTCAGTTTTGTCTCATTACCAGCTCCAGAGCTGGCTGCATGTTTGCACACTGGCTTTAAGCCACACTTCACTTACAGGCCAACTAAAATCAAGAAACCAAATTTTTCTTTGGAAATCTCCCTTCTATGTACTACTTTAGACTGTTCCTGCTGGAGGAAATAGGCAGAGAAGGGAAAGATTGCCATTGTCGGAGGAATTATTAGTGTTCATCCAGCTTTCCCATTCTTAGGTTAAAAAATGAAAAGTGGGGAAGAAGGGAAAAAGAAACATTAACTCTTTGCAATTTTTTATGATATGGGTATGCCAAGTTCTGTCAAATAAAGAAGTAAATATTTGAGAAACCATATCATGTTTTCATCCACACAAAAAACATGGAGAAAGGGTGCAAGAGAATGAAGAAGATGAAAGAGAAATGCTCTTACTTAGAAACTGGAGAAGAATAAGGTTGCAGAGAGGCCTGCAACATCCAGGTGAAGGACAATAGAGGAAAAAGTAATGGATATGGAGAGAAGTCATTGAAAAGGGAGAGAAATGTGAAAGCAAGTGAAGAAAAAAGAGAGAGAGACCTGCAGAACTGCTAGTGGAAATAAAGACATGCAGGGATATCGTACGAAGTGATGTTGATGGGAAGATGAGAAGATGATGGCATTGGCGTAACGTCATTCAGCGTCATCCCACAGGCCTATGGTGCTATGCATGGCCACTGCACTTGCTCCTGGGATGGTTTTTCAGCTGGGGAAGGCTGACATTGGCTTAGAGGTGTAACAGTGTAACAGAGATGTCAGGAAATGTGCTTGCTCAGTTGGATGCATTCACATTCTTTCAGCTTGAGTTGTCAGGTGCATTGTTTATACCTGCACTGGTAAATATTAGAGGTGCTGGGTGAGGTGGCTCTGTGGGCCTAGTAAGACTGCTAGTAAGCAGTGAAAACTGCTCTTTTTACCTCTGCCCTCCTTGTTTGACCCTGAAAAGTAAGTAAAGATTTCTCCAGACGGACCAAGGACCAATATCTCAAGTGAAGTGTACTGCTTTTACAATCACTTTTCTGATTATTGTGGCAGTATTTTCTTAATTACTTGAAGATTAAAGCAGTAATTGCCAAAAGAAACCTAAACAGAATGGTACTGAACCATTGTTTTCCAAATCATGAAATGTTCCAGTAGGTGCATTTTTTATTTGTTTGTTTGTTTTGTTACTTAAGACATTTAGAGTGTTTCTACTCATTCAAACATTTGGAACAGAAAATTGACAGTGTATTTCCAAAAGAAAAAAGCTGTGTTAATTTAGAAAAGAGACTAGAGAAACTAGAGTAAGAAATTCTTAATGCACCTTCTCATGTGAAAGCAAATAAAAAAGGAATCCTGTTGGAGCAGCAATGTGCACTAAGTATAGATCTAAATATTTCTGTTGGTAAATGGTTGGCATTGCTACCTGTAAGGGTTGTGATGTCATATAATCTCAAATTCAGTCAAGTCAGCTTATGTAGTGATTATTGATATGAGACTTCCACAGAAAACTGAGTTTCTTAGCTCCCTTTTTATAAGGTTATCTAATTACACTACTGAGACTAATCTTGGTTATCAGCTGTTGTTTCACTGAAGTACTCCAAGTTGTGTCTGAATTTCACTGCAGGGAAGGTATCTCGTATGCATTTATCTTAGAATAAGTAAACATAAGCCAAAACAATAATATATGGTTTCTTAAACATAGGTTTCTAGATATATAATTCAGCATGTATATAAAAACCCCACTGAATAGCTCAGCTGTTTTGCCCAGTTCCTGCTTTTACTGGCAATAACAGGAAAACCCTCATCTGCTGCAGAGGTGATGATTTGGTCATGGAGGTGGTAGTGTGAAGTCATTATCGTCAGGGTAAGAGTTAAGTAAAAATCTGTTTAGCAGAAATGTATGTGAGGACAGGACTGCTCTATGGTGAAATTGCTTAGTCCAGCTGATACAGTTCTTAGTTCAATACTGACTGAAAAATTGAAAGTACTAATAAAAGGAACTAGTTTTTAGACATTTTCTGGATGGTTAGCTAGGAACTCAGTGTATTGTTTGTTAGTTTTCATACACATATTAAAAAATTGCTTTCTCACAACTCCTTAAGATTTTTTGCACCTCTGCCTGAATTTCAGCTCTCATTACATCCTGTGATCAACTTTCAGTGTACTTTGGTCTGTGTATTATAGTTCTGGCACTCTGTTGATACTGTTGTTAGCTGGTGTATAAACTTATCTATAGTTATTTATTAATCTTCTCATTATACTGATTATGGTATTGTGATCTTTTTCAGTGTACCTTGAGGACAGTTTTGTAAAATCCGGAGTGTTCAACGTGTCAGAACTTGTGAGGGTGTCCAGAAGTAAGTTATCATTTGCATTTAGTAATTTCCAAAGCCTGCTATAATCAAGTGAAGGTTTTTTTTCTTGAAGTTTTTTTCTCCCCAAGATGTGAGATGCATGTGAAATACCTATAAGCATGCACAATTTTGATATGTTTGACCACAGTATTATAGTTCATCTTGCATGAGTTTGTAATAAAGCAAACAGAAGTCTTCTTTTGTCTCTTTGATATTTAAAGATTGAATCAATTTGTTACGTGACCCACTGCACAGCGTAATGGACTGATATGTCAGTAAAATTACCATACATAACAAAATCTTTGTTAGAATTGCAGATTTTTAAGTTTGTCCTTGGATTTTGCTAAACTATCTGATTATTTTTTTAGTTTATTTTTGAATCTGTAGCTCTTAAAAGAAAAATCACAGCATGGATATAAAGGATGACTAACTTAATGTGTTATGTGCTTGTGTTTCTTTTACTCGTAGCACTGGCTGTAACTGAATTTCTAATTACATTGGCTTGTTTTGGCATCAGAAATGTTAAGCACATGAACATGCAAAAAAAGAAAGTAACATAAATATAGGTGACAGGTGAAGCTTTTATTGCAGAAAGAAAAACCAAAACGAATATAAATAAGATCGGTTTTGTTGACGTTTAAGAATATGCTATAATAGTATGGCATAAAACCAGTGCATATTTTAATTTGACATTGCTTTCTGAATGCTTCTTTGCTCCCTTTAGTGTCAAAACTATTAAAGTATTTCTCTTAAGACTTCATTAGGAAGTGAACAAAAATACTTGAAACGTATAGTTAGAAGTGTCTGCAGTGATGACACCAATATTATTACAACTGAATGGTCCAGGAAAATCTCTTTTCTGATGAGGTGAGGACAAAACCAGTGAGGCACAAGTTGCCAAAACTGTCTGTCCAAATTTTGCACAGGAGTTAATTCATGCAAGGCCAGGATGCTCAAGGAATTTAACTTAGTGAGGCCTAAGATGCATGTGTCATTTCATTTGCTGTGGTCAGAAATTAATATCCAACAATTAAAATTGTGTTAAGTCCTTCAGTGAAATACTGAGTATTGCCTTCCTGCAGTTTTAAGACGTGTTCTTTTTTGTGCTTGCTGAAGATACATTTTTGCTGTTTTAAGAGGCTGAGTATGTGCGAAATACAGCTTTCTTTTAGTTGTCAGGTGGTTAAATACCTTTTAAAGTATCAGGCCATTCAGATTAAAAAAGAATCAATAGTGTAGTGATGTTATGAAATCATACCTTCTGTGTATACACGATATACTTCTAATAATAAGCTTTAAAGCGTGTGGTTTTGTTGGGATTTCTTACCATGCATTTTTTAACCTCAAGCTGCAACAGAGTTGTACTTTAACTGTCAGGAAAACTACAAACCTTCAGATACATTACAAAACATGCAATTATTCTTTTAAGTGCCACAGGTAGTTAAAATGCACAATGCACTGACAGTGAACAAAGGTAAATACACCACAATGTGTAACATATAATTTATTCTTGAAATGCCAAGACATACGGTACACAGACTCTGTAAGGAGGTGAAGATAACACTGAGTGTGTGTGTGTTTGTGTGTAGGTGTACATATGCAAAGCAGTATCTGTGGCACTGGGTGAAAGAAAAAGGAGGCAGCAAAACATGCTGTCATCACAGAAAGCTATTATTAATACAAAAGAGTTAACATTAAGGGAAAAAGAGTTTGTGTGTCCCCAGGTTTGTTCTTTCCAGTTATTTCAGTTCTTTAATAAAGAATGTTAGCTGTCCTTATAAACCGTGCCTCATTCATTATAAAAGTCCTTTTACAGAAGGTTTGACTTCATGCCGAGGTTTGTGTTACCTTTTTCCTATTGATGATTCCAGGTTATCTGTTATACAACAAATATAGTATATTTGCATAACTGCTAAGGGACTTCTAGGGACTGGGGAAGATAATTCACTTTTTTAGGTATATAAACATTGATAGAACTTGTCTGTACTTGGTTTCTGCAAGAGGCAGAAAATTAGATACATGTAGTAACATCTTGATGTTTTTCCCAGTGTTAAAAATGAAAAGATGGCTAAAAAGATAGAAGATTATCTTTGACTCGTTATAATGATGTGTTTTTCAGCACCCATAACCCAGGGAACTGGAGTGAACTTCCCAATTGGAGAGCTTCCGAGCCAGCCATATTACCATGATATGAATTCGGGTGTAAATCTACAGAGGTCCTTGTCCTCTCCACCAAGCAGGTAAAAACTTGAAATAAGTGCTAATACGAAACCAGGTTTAATAGTATAGGAGAAGCAATTCACAAATACTGTCAACAGCCAACTATTTTATGAATTTCCTCTGATTTTGTGACATAGGCTACTTATGTACGTTACCATAATACATGTACAGATACATACGTTGCAAATCTTGTCATTTGAAGTGATGTAATTATTGCCTGTCATTGCTATGGATATCAAAAACAATAGTAACTTTTGTCAGGGTTTGAAGTGCTCGCTAAATCGTCTGCCAAGAGAACAGCTACGCATCCTGAAACTGCTGCTGAGTTGCAGGAAGGTCTAGCAGCCGGGAACCTGCTGACAGGGCTCGATGCCACAGGATGGTTGCAGGCACAAAGGCTGTCTTTGAGGGCTCCCTCTTGGACCTCTGTCTTGAAAGATATGTTGGGACAGATACTGTTTCCTGTGGAAAAGGCGTTAGGACAGGTATATAAAGACAAGGTGTCTTTATCCATAGCATCACCCCAGCTCATGAAGGTGTGTTTCTTGCCTGACCCTTACAAGAGACATTTCCCAGCACAGTGGGAACAAGGAGGAACAAGTGAGGTAGTCACAAGCTCTCTAATTTTTCTCAAGGGTCTCCACATGCCTGCTACAGGTAGTTTGACCTGAGGGACCCACTTCTTCCTTGCTTCAACATGCTCCCTTCTGCCAACTCTGAGAAAGACCCCATTCCCTCCCTCACAAGCATCTGACGGGCCCACAGAGGTGGGGAACCTGCTGTGCCCTCCTTCTGACTCCCAGATAATGTACTGTCTGTCACACTCCTGGGGCCCCTTGGTTTTCTGAAACTCTCCGATGTACTATGAAATCATAAGCACTATAGGAACTCTCATTGCCCCACACTTCTGCACCCCAGTGACTCAGGAAGTGTCTGCACAGTGGGACAGGATTTAACAGGACTGTCAGGGGGTGGGGTGCTCTTCCATCAGCACCTGGTGCTTCTGAGTTATTGTGCTCATATTCCCCTATTTCATTCCATTGTATTTTCAGCTTGGCTGTTCACCTAGTACATTTTAGAAATGGATAGGTTAATTCTCACAGTGTTGTCTAAATAATAATGGTAATAGTAGTAGTAGTAGTAATAGTAACCATAATCATAATCATAATCATAATTATAATCATCATAATCATACCACCACCACCATTAAAACCTTCATCCTGGTTTTCTTGGGCAGTCAGCATAACAGCTTCAGTATATATTGTTAGGAAGAAACTTGACTTCCCTCCACTGTATTGAAGTGCTGTCTCATTTTATATAGTGTGACTTGAAATACGGGCCTTTTCTTGTTTTTAATTAAACTAGTCTAAAATGAAAAGTCTTTGTTTCACGTTAGACCTCTTTGAAAAGCTTAGGATTTCGACCTGATGAAATACAGTGAACTACATTTTTTTCTTATTAGCACATTCAGAAAAGTTCCTGTTTTACCTTGACTTTATTAGTAATACTTTTCCAGTGCTTTGTTTTGCTTTCATGGTTTCTGTGTAGTGTTTAACACTCTCATGGCACAACCTTTCTTTGGTGGGTTACAGGAACTCGTTTCTTGGTTGTTCAGCCAAATACTGATAGACTTTTATATGTTACCCGTTCATACTATCTCTGAAATATTAAATCACGTGAAAAATGCAAGCACGTACCTGCATTATGTATTATTAAATAACATTATCTATGTAAGTTAATGTAAGCTCTAATATTCACTTTTTTGTGCTTTGTATGCCTGAATTATTTCCTATTGAAATATTTGTTGAAATCCAAACAGTTTATATACAACTAGCTGCATATCATATTCACTAGCAAATCTCACATTATTTCAACAGCAAAAGACCCAAAACTATCTCCATAGATGAAAATATGGAGCCAAGCCCGACAGGAGACTTTTATCCTTCTCCAAATTCACCAGCTGCGGGGAGTCGGACATGGCATGAAAGAGATCAAGGTGAGTAAAATGGGACCATTTTACCTCGAAGTATATTCAAATACACAATAAATCTCTGCATTTGCTTTTCCATTACTGCAATAAAATGATGACTTTTTAGAAGAATCATTATTTTTCTGTCTGGTATGTGTATTTGCTGGTTTTGTAAATGTAGTTAAAACCAACAGTCAACAGGATATGAGATAAACAACCACATAATAATTTTTCCATCTAGTGACTGCCTTACCTATTTTTTGAAAAGATGTGTGACAAGTGAGATACTCAATATTGTGTATGCTGTGATCATCTCAGCAGGATTATGAGTACAATGGTTTCAAGTAAAAACCAAAACATCTCCATACTATGGTTGAGTCAGTACTACTTTAATCAGTTTTTTGTTTACCATGACAGACTCCTGTGTGTGCGTTTAGTCCATAGTAATGTGACTCAGAATAGGTCCAATAGGCTCTTCTCTGAAGAGCCCACATATAGCTCTGTGGGACTATATCCATACGCTAAAGGATGTTGGTAAGTGGTGTTGTGTTTTGGGTTATCAGTAGCAAGGAACATGTTTGTGTGGAGAAGAAAGTTATGGCTGCCAAAACAGTAAAATTAATTCTTGTAACTTTCCCTCATGTTATCTTGATGCTTTTTAAACCTAGATGCCAGTGCAGTCTTTTCCCTCACCTTTGAGATGTGAAAATGTGTTTAAACTCACATGTATTTGAACAGTGTTGGTTAATGGATCCTGTGGCTGAGGTGCTGCAGCTGTTTGGAGGGTTGGTGAAATGGACAGCACAGTATGTAAAAGTGAAATAGAGAAAAAGACACATCATTGCTTCCTTTGCTGATCTTCCGATTTTTGCCCTCCTTTTCCCTGTCCACTGCTCATTGCTGCTCTCAGTTCTTCAGTAACCAACCACCTTTTGGTCTTACTTAATTTTTATACTGGTTTAGGTTTCTTTTTTTTCTTTCTTTTTTTTTTTCACCTGCTAAGTTTTCTCCTTCATCTCCATGTGCAAGGTAGCATGTGACTGGTATTTAATTTAGCTGCCTTTTATTTTCACATTTTTCTTATAGTTGATCTCCTTTTAGTCTGCTTCCGCCTACCCTCTGATCTGTGTTCTCATCATTAGGCTGTTCCTCTCACACAATGTTTACTAGTCTTTTTCTTCATTGTTTCTTTTGTACCTTTTTTTTCTCATGAAGTCTGATATTTTCTTATTTCTAGCTGTTTGCAGCATTCACTGTTGAACTGAAAAAAAGTCTTGCCCATTGTTTTGACTAACCAAACTTAAGAACAGCAAAACAGCAGTTATGCCAGCCAGAATCTTCCCCCTTGTGCAAAATATTTTCCCCTGTGACTGTTACCTGTTTTGCAATGACACTTTATTACAATTTTTCATAAAAGACAGGATTGTACCTCAACTAATTTTTGTGCTTTTTCAATAAATTATTTTTGCGATTGTGGGGAAAACAGCCCACCATTCGTCTCTGAAGTGGTGTCCACATATCCCCACTTGTGAAATGAAGTCCTTTTGTGCTGCTGAGTGAGCTGTAGTGGCTTCTAAGAAATGCAGTGCCACATAGACAGCTGAGCCTGAGTCCTGCTGACAGAGCCTTTCACTGATGATCTTTGTAGTTCCCAACTATCTAATTGCTTTTTAACTCCTGAATCATTCTGCTTGTAAAGAACGGTGCTCTGTGAACACTGGATTTGTTCAGTTTTACCAGCCTTCTTCATGTCACATTTATCAGTAGTGAACAATGTTATTGTTCAGATTGCTTGAGTAGATTTGCAATGAACCTTTACTTAATTTCTGTGCCATTGGATAGCTAGACTTCTGGAATGAAACAGCCTTTAACTCTCTATGTATGTTTCATAAACCAGAGAACTCCAAAAGATGAGAAAGAATAGAAGAGGTAGACTTGAATCAGTGTATTTTATTTTTGTTTCCTGGAGTTTACATTCCTCCCTGAATTTCCTGTTCTCCAGCACTGCTGGGCCTAGTGAAATTTTACCAGATCCCTGGCAGAGAGGTTGTCTTTGAGACACTATGAGGGACTTTGTTTTTCTGTCCTTAAGATGTTCTTCCATTCCTGCAGATGGACAGATATACCACTGTCCAGTCTGACAACCATTATACTGGGGGAAGCCTAAGCCTTTTGTCCCTAACCATTTATGTTTGGCTCCAATCACTTTCTGAGGTTATCCTGCTGCTGCAGAAACACTGTGAGGCAGTGATCGCAATGCCTGTCCTTGCTACCTGGCCTCACTGGGAAGGAGTATGTGGAAGCTCCTGGCATATTTGTTCTGCTGCTAGTTTGTTAGATACTTGATATCATCTTCTTACTAGCATGTATCTGTGTAAAGCTCCGTTTGGACACAGAGGTCTTACCAGGATATGATATTTGTGAAAACCTATACCTGTTTCGCTATGCCTGCAAGCACAAAGGTAATAGAAATGAAAGTTTGGAGGCGGTTTCTATGCCAGAGAGCTCACTGGTACCTCTTCCTTCTCTCCCATGGAGATCTGCATGTCCTATGAAGTTAGGCATAAGTGAAAAAAAAGGAGAAGCCATTTGGGATCACATTTCTGTTCATCCAGTGTCACCAGGTGATGCTCATGTAGTCCCAATAGGCACTGCTTTTTCAGGCAGTCTCCAAAGGTCATCAGCACCAGAAATGTGAATCATTCCTCAGTACCCACAAATGAGAATATGCAGAGGTATTATGTTTGTAGGTAAGTAGCTTCTCTCTGATTTTTACTTTTCTAAGAGAAACAAAATCAGAAATAGGCTTGATATTAAGATATAGCATTACTGATTTCAGTTTCATCATGTCTGTTTTGAACCTGACAGAGCCAAATCTCTAACTTCTGACCTGAAGTAGATCTAATTTCTTTGTCTGCACACTAAGTGTAATGTATTTTCATAGAAATAGAAAGAACATACCTGTGAAAGATTCTTTTATCATGAAGTCTTTTCGTATCTTTATTTAGCTGCATTTGTAAGGTAGCAGAAATGAGGTGACAGTGGCAGTTTGAAACTGGAGAGAGTCACAATAAAACAATGATAGCTGAAACTGCTTGGAATAAAGGAGTTAGGAGTTTCATAGGTGTCTAAGGGGTATCTAACCATTTTGATAGAGAGAATGGGACAAAGATTAATGGGTAACACAGAAATATACTGAGATTAAGAATGTGACACATGAAAATTTTCAGTGGGGTGGAACAGGTTAGATCAACCTTTTATTGCTGTGAAAAACAAATATGTAGTTTAGTAGGCAAGTAGACATCAGGAGAGGAGTGATTCTGTATGAATGATTCTGTTGTAATCCTCATAGTTTCTACAGCTTCTCTACTGTGCAAGCATGCATCATGAAGGGTAGGAACATGACTACAGTAGTACTTGTGGTTTAGCTAGGATGTGGCATTTGTGAAAGTAAGAAAAAAAAATCTAGCCCAGCTACAATAAAATCTTCCTCATACCACACTCTACGTTCAGTTGTAAAACTCCAGACTTTGTCCTTTTGCTGTTATCAGTCTTCTTCCTGTCGTACTACTTCCAAAAATGTTTTGATAAGATTTCCAAATGTTGTGTTTTATAGTCTATTTTAGGGTAGTTGGCTGTTTGAAGATGTAATTCTGGGCAGAAATAAGTAGGCATATCTGAAAAATGGGAACTTTAGATGGTGTAAGGTTGGTCAAAGCCAGTCTATGAAGGGTTATGAGCAGTGGCTTCATTATTCAATGCTCTAGTATTGCTATGCATCTTACTGTTCTGACACAAAAAATACGAAAAACTCTAATTAACCAAAATTAGCATTAAAAATAAATTTTTATTTGTATTTATTGAAGTCAGATTATAAATCCTTATGGAAGGAAAAAAAGCTTATGAAGCCATGGTACTGTCCTGGAGGTTTACTTCATTGGCTTACAAGAATTTGTGACTATTTTAAAAATATGTTTAACCACAAAAGTATGAGTAACAGTTTCAAAAACAGATTTTAAAAAAATATTACTGTGGATTTACAATGTTGTTTTTGAGTTTACATACATTCAATAATTGTGGGAAGATTCTGTAGTTTGTGCCATTATTTTTGCTATGTTGAAATACTTAAAATATAACTCTGTTTGCATGATCTTTTGAAATAGGTGTGAGATCTTCCTGCAGAGCAAATAGGCAGGTTTATAACTGCAAAGATTTCTCCCAAACCTTCTCTCTGCCATTAGACTTTCAAGTAACCAACCATCCTCCAGAAATCCCAGAGCCTAAGAAAGTGAAAAGTCAGCTCTAAGAATGGTGCATTACTTAGAGACCTAACATGAGAATTACGAGTTCAGTTTCTGTGTCTGCTGTCAGATCTTGTGCAAGTTACTTGTTCTCTCTTGTACCTCAGTTTTTCCAACTGAATGTCTTGTTAACTTTAGCAATGTCTGGATCATGCCTTACTTACATTTCTACCAACTGGAAATATATCTAGATCTAAAAAGCAGTTTGCTGTAAATCTCTTGCAGTCTTCCTTTTTTCCAGGTTGCTGTTACTGAATTCTTTACAGGTTTCTATATTAAACAAAATTTTGAGTTCCCGCAGTAGTGTAGTAATACTTTGTGAAATAGATGGAAGTTGCTACATGAATTAATTTGCTGAGTGTTTTAGAAATTCTCAGGAGGATAACATTTTGTACAATAAAAAAAAATAATGGAAGAGGCAGTTATTAAAAATGTAATAAAACTAGTGACTAGTGCAGTGATTAAAAAATACTTCAGATCTAATAGGCTAAGTACCATTGGTGAACATCTTGATTTATTAACTGGTAAGTAAATCAGGTACTTTTTCCTTAACTCATAAGGAAACAGGAATATCAGAAGAACAGAGCACAATGCGTGCATCTATGGCTTCCCTTCTAAAAGCTAGCTTGACAAAGTACATTAACGTAGTTGCAGACAATTTCAGTATTTGTCCTTGAGATCTGTTTTACTGTTATAGTGTTACAACACTGTGTATGTTGTAAATAA